TCAGCCAGACCAACACGATTGCGTCCTCAGCGCTCTCCCCTATCCAGGTGCCACAGATGGGCTCACTATCGCTATCATCACCGGTTCATGGTGGTTGCTCGGTCTTTTGTCTTAGAACCCACACCACGAGTCGAGGCCTCATTCTTTCGTTTCTCTTTCCTTGATCTTCCACCCGACCTCCCACACCCGCCCATTCCCCAGGCCGGTTGCTGCTATCCCCCCCAGTCCTGCCCCTCCGCGTCCCTCACCGCCACCTCGCGCGCAGCCTTCCCGACCAACACCTCGGCCGCTAATGCCACCGCAGCCACCGCCGCCGCGCTCGCTTCCACAGTCAACTCCACGATCTCAACTGGCAGTTTCACCGGCGACTGCCTGGTGTACGGCAGCGAGCCCACGAAGCTGTGCTACGGGTGCGACACGTGCAAGGCGGCTTTCCTCAAGATGTTGCGCGATCAGTGGCGCATTGTGGCGTTTGTATGCCTGGGCGTGTCGCTGCTGCTGCTCGTTATCTACATTGTTGGCTGCTGCGCCTACCGCAGCGCCAAGCAGCGTGAAGGTTTTCTTGGGAAGGTTTAATGCAGGTAGGTGGAAGGCAGCAGGTGTAGTGCAGTGTGGTGTGGAGTGGTGTGGTGTGGTGTGGTGTGTTGTGGTGTGGTGTGGTGTGGTGTGGAGTGGGTTAGTGTGGTGTGGTGTTGTGATGGGAAAGGGGTCAGCAGCAGAAGACAAGAACCGGAAGGCATTGTTCTCCTGTAGGGGCGTAGAGGGTCCAATCGTAATAATGTGCCTGGGCTTAGCAGGGTGAGCAGCCATGCTGATAGGGGCACTGCCTTAGTGCCTCCAATAAACGGCCCTTACAAGTTAGAGTGCATCACATCACATAGCAACACAGGTTCAGGATTTTGAGAGCCCTCAGGCTTGTTGTCATCCCAGTTAAAACCTCCAATAATCTCCATGTAAAGTGCCTCAATCTGAAGCTTTTGCCTTGGGAGGAAACACATTCGAACTGCATGTAGTATTTTCTATCGAAGGCAACAAGTCCCACTTCTACAGAATGTGTTACAGGCCTACAGCACTCCCACGAAGGGGGGCCTCCACTGCACAGAGCACCAGTCAGGCGGCACTCCTGACTTGCACCTCTCCCCACCCCAGGCCGCACTCCACCGCCTTCCACTCACCGCAAACCATCTCCACCCTTTCACTCCACTCCCCCTGGCTGCGGTCTCTGGGCCTGAGCAGCCAGCATGGCATCGCGCTCGCACTCGTGCAAGTCAGCCTGCCCCAGAAAGCCCTCTTCTCCCACCCACTCCACCCGACCAACCTTCACCCAACTCCACCCACTCACTCCACTCCCCCCGGCCGTGGTCTCCTCGCCTGAGCAGCCAGCTTGGCGTCGCGCTCGTACTCGCGCATGCCGGCCAGCCCCTGAAGAAAAGCCCTCTTCTACCACTCACTCCACCCCACCCACCTCCACCCACTCAATCCACTCCCCCCGGCCGTGCTCTCCTGGCTTGCGCAGCCAGCTTGGCATCGCGTTCGCGCTCGTACTCGCGCAGGTCAGCCTGCCCCAGAAACGCCCTCTTCTCCGTGTACGTGGCACCGCTCCTCCTGTACTCCTCCAACTCCTCCACCACGCCCGTGCCCTCCTTGTACTCACTCCAGTCCTGTGCGATGGGGGGTGGGGAGAAAGGGTGGTTGGAGATGGAGTGAGAGGCGAAGGCCAGTGCTCCTGCGACGCCCCTCCAACTCCACCACCACACCAGCTCCCTCCTTATACTCACTCCAGTTCTGGTGGGCAGCAGAGGACGGGGAGGTTTGGGAAAGGGGGGATGGAGTGAGAGGGAGCAAGAGGCCAGTGCTGCACTGCTCCAACCGCACTGCCACACCCACTCCCTCCTTGTGCTCGCTCCAGTCCTGGAAGATGGGCGGGCGGTTGGAGGGGGAGAAAGGGCAGAGCTACATGAGTGGGAGTGACACTGCTTCTCTGGTACCTTTGCAACCACACTGCGTGTCGTGGAATCAGTTTTTGGGATCTCTTACAGACTGAGCACTCGCCGTCACCACTCTTCCGTTAGGCTACCGCTTCTCGTCCGTGCATTACGCGCACTCTGAGAATGCTCAGAACGTCCTGTCTTGTGTGCACTCACCTTGCGTGACTTGTCCATTCTCAGCCCGGGCACACACCTTGCACGGCTCGCTCACCTTGCGTGACTTGTCGAGGATGTTGAGTTTCTTCTTCTTCTCCATCTGCGCCAGTATGGCGTCCAACCCCTTTGATGTCGACGCCTGCCAGCCATGCGGGGGACAGGAGAGGGCGGAGAGGGGAGAGAGAGGATGTAAAGATGGGTTGTGGAGCAGCAGCGACTTGTCAAGGATGTTGAGCTGAGTTTCTTCTTCTTCTCCATCTGCGCCAATATGGCGTCCAACCCCTTCGATGTCAACGCCTGCCAGCCATGCGGGGGACGGGGACAGGGCAGTGACGGGAGAGGGCGGGGAGGGGAGAGAGAACGAGGAGGGGTGAGGCCAGGAAGGGGAGAGGGAGGATGTGGAGTGGAGACGCGGCGTGGAGCAGCAGAGGGAGAGCACTCTTGAGAGCATGAGTGAAGGGCAAGCGACGACAGTGGAACATGGGCGCTCACCTGCTTTGCCCCATGCAGCAGAGGCTGCTTCATTGCACTTCCTCTCGCCTCTCACCTTCCTCTTGCCTCTCTCCCTCACCTGCATGTCGGCCTTGCGCTTGGCAGCAGCAGCCTCTTTAGAGCGCGCGTCCAGCACCCGCACCACCTCCACCGCCTCCCCTGCAAAGTCCACCACCTCCCGCACCTGTAGCACGTGCATTGGCCCGGGGGCAATGCGCAGTGGGGCAGCATCAAGATCCAGAGCAAGTAGAGTTGAATAAACAAATCATGGGGAGGTGTGAGGGACAGGCTCAGCGGAAAGAGCTCGAAGGATCGCCACAAGTACCAGGACGAAGCTCCCTAATCCCCCTGTCCCCCTGCACGCACCTGCACTTTGGAGTCGTCCACCACTGCCCCCCCTGCTGCTGCCTGTGTCGCTCTCAACGCCGCCGCTGCTGCTGCCGCCCGCTCTGCACCTGCTGCTGCAGCAGCAGTGGTATTCTCTCTTGCCACGTCCCCCTCCTTGTTCCCCTCCCCACTCCTTCGACCATTCCCCTCGTCCACCTCCATATTCCCCCCCTCCCGCACCCCATCATCCCCTCTACCCTCTGCCTGCCCCGCCCCCCCCCTCTCTGCACTCCCCAATGCTCCTTCCGCTCCCCCAGCCGCCTTTCCGCCGCTCCTCTCTCCCCGCGCGTCACTGCCAGCAGCATCCGAATCGGGGGCAGAGTGTGGGAGGGGCCTCAGACCCAGGTCCCACACCCACGACTGGGGGGTGGGGGGACGGGCAGAAGGTGGGAGGAGAGGGGGGTGGTGTGAGAGGCACGACGTGGAGGTGAGAAGCGTTAGGCCCAGGTCCCACACCCACGACTGGACGATGACTTTTGAGTCGACTCAAAAGTCAACGCGTTAGGCCCAGGTCCCACACCCACGACTGGACGATGACTTTTGAGTCGACTCAAAAGTCAACGCGTTAGGCCCAGGTCCCACACCCACGACTGGACGATGACTTTTGAGTCGACTCAAAAGTCAACGCGTTAGGCCCAGGTCCCACACCCACGACTGGACGATGACTTTTGAGTCGACTCAAAAGTCAACGCGTTAGGCCCAGGTCCCACACCCACGACTGGACGATGGAGGGAGGGAGAGAGGAGGCAGAAGGTGGGGAGAGGGGGGGGGGGGGGGTGGTGACGGTGTGGGAGACACGAGGTGAGGAGCGGTAAGGGGCTTCAAGCCCTGGTCCCACACCCACGACTGAAGGTTGGGGGAAGGGAGGACGCAGAAGGTGGGGAGGGGAGGGGGGGTGTGTGAGAGGCACGACGTGGAGGTGAGGAGCGTTAGGGGACGTTGAGAGGGGCACTTATGCACCTGATCTGCCTGATTCCGGCAGCCTGTGGCTGTGGCGGTAGCAAAGCATTACACATCGCAGCACCGCACTGAACCTCGCGCGCGCCACTCACAGGGACGGGTTTCTTCGCCGCGCTGCCGCCGCTCGCCGTCTGCGCGGCCCCGCGCTGCCGCAGCCGCTGCGTCAGAATCAGCTCCACGCGCGCGTCGCGCAGCTTCACCGTCTCGCCCGGATTTCCCGCCGTCGCTTGCACCGCAAGATCCGCGGAACCTGCCGCTCCACCGTCTAAAGCGGCGGCTATTGCGCTTCCGCCTCCATCTCCGCGCGGCTGTGCGGGAGGTGCGGCGGCGGAAGCGGCGGAGAGTCTGCTTCCCGCCATGGCTGCGGGCGCGGTGGCGGCCTTGAGGCGCTGCCACGCCGCGTCGACCGCCGACATTGCACGGGCGCGGCGGGCGGTTGTTGAAGCAGATACGAGGCGATGACTGCTGAAGGATTGGATTGGGTTGCGCGTAGCGGCACGAAGCCACTTGCGAGTCCTGTGCTTTCCGAAAAGACGACGTGTTGCTGGGAAGGTGCGTTCGAGATTCTAATGTGGGTCCTGGAAAATTACGAAGAGAAATCCTAGTGGCCAGGTTCCAAGGTGAAAAAATCTGGACTAAAAATAGTGGGAGTTGCTGAATCTACACTTCTGCTCCGAACAAATTACCTCTTAGGGAAACAGTGGAACTCGTGTAAAAAAATTGCGTGTAACAGTTTAACGAAATTGTTACATGCGGCGAAACATATCGTAGGTGCAAGGCAAGAGCAAGTCAGCAGCCAATCCCGTTTCATGAATTCAAATATTCGAGCAAATGCCCCACATCGATATTACCCAACTCTGACAAGGGGCCATTGGTGAAAGGCTCACAGCCAGGCCACAGCACGCATCACATCACAGCAAGCAGCTCTAGAAGCGATCACCCTTCGATACTCCTCAGTCTCCGACCATCAAGCTATCAAACCATTTGAAATAGCTACTGCTTCGGTACCTGCGGTAAATGCTTACAACCATGTCGCCCGCGCCCCTCTCGTCGGACGTCCTCCTCGCCGCCGTTGCGGGAACCGTGGTCGGAGCCGCCGTTGCTGCCGCCGCATTTTCCGCCACCCGCTTCGCGCGCTCCCGAGCATCCGCCGCCTCCGCTAGCATTTCCCCGCCTGACGTGGCGCGCTGTCGCTGCGCCAGGTCGGCGGAGCCTGCGCAGGAGCGCGGGCAAGAGCGCGCTGATAGGCCGGCGCAGTGCAGCCGCTGTCGTGATTCTTGCGCCCCCTGCGATAACCAGCGGAGCGATTGCGCCGTTGGCGGAGGGCAGTGCGGGGATACGCCGGTTGCGGAACCGATAATGTTGCGGAAAGGGGAAGGCCACGCGCAGGAAGAATGCCACGCGCAAGGGGGAAGCCACGCGCAAGGGGAAGGACGCGCGCAGCACGTGGATGAAAATGCGAAAGAGAGCAGCGAAGAGCGGCACGGGAATGGAGAGCAGCGAAGGAGAGACGTTGCCCCCCGGATGGCGATCACTCGTTGCGCCACGGTGGGAGGGTGCGCAGAGGTTGGGCGGGCGGCGGAGAGAGAAGGCGGGGAAAGGGAGGGGAATGAGGGGAACGATGGCGGAGCCGCGGAAGAAGGGACGGGGAAGCAACACCCGAAGAAAAACGATCCCTATGATGCGAGGAAAAGGAACGGGTAAGCGGGCAGGGCGTGCGTCGAATCATGCTGGCAAGGCTCTGACTTCGATTCGTGTAAACGCGATGGCGATGGAGGTGCGTGGTGGTGCGTGGTGGTGCGTGGTGGAGTGTGGTGTGCGACTTGCTGCGCAGGTGGTGTTGTACATTGTGCCCACACGTCGTGCTTCAGACGTTTCAGGGTGAATGGCGACGGTCCATGGATGAAGCATCCTTGTGACATTGCATTTGGCGTTTCCTATCCCGCCTGAATCATGGCTTGGCACGGCGGCATGGCATTGAACGGCACGCATGACATGGCATGGCATGGCATGGCATGGCAGGTTTTTGTCATGGGATGATTACTTCATGGCTGTGGCATTCCTCTCTGCTCAACGATCCAAGGACCCCAACAGACAGGTGAATTCAACACACAGGTGATTCCAACAGACAGGTGATTCCAACAGACACGTGGTTCTAAGAGACAGGTGAATCTAACAGACAGGTGATTTTAAGGGACAGGTGAATCTAACAGACAGGTGATTTCAACAGACAGGTTTTATCTCATCAGACATAAGTTGAAAATCTGTCTGCGCATCCGTTCTCACAGCACATGTGTGCATCCGGCCTCACAGCACATGTGTGCATCCGGCCTCACAGCACATGTGTGCATCCGGCCTCACAGCACATGTGTGCATCCGGCCTCACAGCACATGTGTGCATCCGGCCTCACAGCACATGTGTGCATCCGGCCTCACAGCACATGTGTGCATCCGGCCTCACAGCACATGTGTGCATCCGGCCTCACAGCACATGTGTGCATCCGGCCTCACAGCACATGTGTGCATCCGGCCTCACAGCACATGTGTGCATCCGGCCTCACAGCACATGTGTGCATCCGGCCTCACAGCACATGTGTGTATCCGGCCTCACAGCACATGTGTGCATCCGGCCTCACAGCACATGTGTGCATCCGGCCTCACAGCACATGTGTGCATCCGGCCTCACAGCACATGTGTGCATCCGGCCTCACAGCACATGTGTGCATGGCTGCATTGCCCATACGTGCGTGCAGGTTGGAGCATGCATTGTCGGCAGCGACCATGTCATTCTGGGTGAGCTGAGCACCACACAAATGAGCCAGTCACTTATCTTCGGCACCACATGCTCACATTATCACTGCCTCTCCTCCCATTCCTGCCCCCAACACACTTCACGCTTTCAAGTCGTTTCTCTCCCTCCACTTCCCTAAAGTTGCAAATCTATCCTCCTCCCCTCTCACCTTTCTCTTGCTCTCCTCTCCCACCGGCAGGTATTGGGTACAACGGCTTTCCCCGGGGCATCTCAGATGACCTTCTGCCCTGGGCCAAGGTGGGGCACGGTGGGGCACGGTGGGGCACGGTGGGGCATGGTGGGCTGTGGGCCCAGTTAGGAGATTATCATATCATGCTTTCGGTTGTCATGTTCAAATCTGGTCAGACTCTGTCCTGTGTCCCCCTGTCTCTATCTCTCATCTCCGTCCCTCTCTCTGTGCCTGCTTCTCTCTCTCTCCCTGCACGTGCAGCTCTCAGCACACAACGACCCACTCGAAACCAAGTACCCGTGAGTGCTTGCCTCCTGCCGCTCACAGTATCTCTAACCTCTTCCCTTCGTTCAGCCCAGCCCATGTGCCTCTCACTACCCTCTGCACACCTCTCCCTGCACCCCCTCCTTTGCTCTTTATCGGTCACCCTCATATCCCATCCCTCATGTCCGCAATCGCCCATCGCCCCATCCCCCATGCGCCTCACCAGCTACGTGTGTCATGCGGAGGTCAATGCGGTGCTCAACAGGAACCACGCCTCCGCGCTAGACCAGGTGTGCCCCCCTTTTCCAGTCCAGCATGTGCCGTGTCAGCTGGGGAACTGGTCCTCTGATGTTGGTGTTACTGTCCTTCCAATCCGCCTTTTGAGGATTCTCAAAAGTAGCACCAACATTGTGCGCCTGTCAGCTAGGGGACTATCCTTCTGATGCTACCTGCCATGCCTGATAGTCCCCTCCATGTGTGCCTCTTCTTTCCATGTGTGCATGGCATGGCATGGCATGGCATGGCATGGCATGGCATGGCAGCGCATCTACGTGACCATGTTCCCATGCAACGACTGCGCTAAAGTCATCATCCAGGTGCGTCCCTCTCCCTGCACCTCCATGTGCCACCAGTGTATGAGCGGGCGGTGCAGAGTGTGAGCGGGCGGTGCAGCGTGTGAGCGGGCACTGCAGCGTGTGAGCGTGCGGTGCAGCGTATGAGCGTGCGGTGCAGCGTATGAGCGTGCGGTGCAGCGTGTGAGCGTGCGGTGCAGCGTATGAGCGTCCCCCTCCATGTGCCAACTCTACCGGCACTCTTCGCACCCTGCCTCCCTGCCATGTTTCGGCCTCCATGTGCCTCCTGTCGCCCCAGCAGCAACAGTCAGCCTTGCCCTCTGATGTGTGTATATGCATGTGTGCATGCTATGCATGTGTGTGCATGGGCATGCATGTGTGAGCAGGCGGGGATCAAAGAGGTCATTTTCTTCTCAGACAAGCCACCCACTCGCAACCCCAAGGACATTGCTTACGCTGCTTCTAGGAAACTGCTGGAGCTGGCAGGGGTAAAGGTACGCTCTACCCCACCTTCCCACCAACCTCTCCTCTCCGCCTCTTGCTTTCAGCAACTCTCCCCGCCGTTGCACGCTCGGTTTCTTTCCCCATGCCTCCGCGTCACCTTAGATCCAAATGCATCTCCCCCCATTTGCATCTCCCAAATCTCCCCCCATCCGCATCTTTCTCACGACACACCTGAGGCCTCAGGTGTGGCAGCACTGCCCGCAACAGGATTCGCTTACCCTTTCGTTCTCCTAAAAGCGGGGCCCGGTAGGCGTTCACCAGTCCACTTTTGAGACGTCTCAAAAGACACACGTGGCATCACATCAAGTGTGGCAGCACCACCCGCAGCTGGATTCGCTCACCCTTTTGTTCTAAAAGTGGGGCCCGGTAGGCGTTCACCACTGCACTCATTATAATGTGTAGGAAAAGGTATTTACTATGCTACTGTACTTTGTTTCAAGACTACCTTATTGTATAAGTCGTAATGGTGCCTGCATAAGCCAATGTTGTTCTGCACAATTCCACCTCCAAATGATAAAAGCTAACATACTAAAATGCTAAATTCTTGAACCAAGCAATGTCACTAGAGTGTTTCGATTAAATTGTTGTGTTGTAGCGTTGTGTTTGTATCAAGGCGCATCACTGTAGCCCCGCCACACAGCCCTGAACTCCTCTCTGTACGAGTTTAGCCGGGCTTTAAGATTGGGGGACCTGAAGGTAGCATGCACCACCACCACTGGTACATGCGTGAGCAGCACAGGCGGACGGGGTGGGTGTAGGATGGGGGATGGGTTGACAAAGACAAGAAGTATGGGGATAGAACAAACATTTACAAACAAAGACTCCCTGGTTACGAAATGTGGTACAAAGGAAACGAATCAGATGACACTCAAAGTCCTGCAGATGATTATGTGCCTGAGGGTTGTAAGGCAGTGAAGGGAGCATGTGTACTGGGTTGACTCACATAGAACACTTGACGTGAAGGCAACGGCAAAGGTGACGTAGGCTCTTGAGACATAGTTCAGCCATGCACTCACTGCCGGCAGCAGCAGGTGTGGGAACGAGAGGAGGTGAGGTGGTACCGAACGGTGGATGTGGGGAGGAAGAAGGATGTAGGGAGGAAGAAGGATGTAGGGAGGAATACGAAGTTTGTGGAGAGTGGGAGATGAGAGGGTGAGTGTGTGAGGAGAGGTTGAGAGTGGGAGCTGAGAGGGTGAGTGCGTGACGAGAGGTTGAGAGTGGGAGATGAGAGGGTGAGAGTGATGGTTAGGGTGGGAGAGGGAGAGTATGAGCAGGAGCAGTGAAGCATACATGCCAAATATACAGGAGCAGAAGGAACTAGAACCGTTGCATAGCATGACAAATCGAACCATAACATCACAGCATGTGCATGGCATGACACGGCACGGCATGGCATGGCACAGCATGGCAAAGCACGGCACGGAGTGCATGGCAAGGCACGTACAGAAGAGCAGCAGGAAGAGCGCGACTCGTCTGTCCTGCCCACATATGTACACGGCGCCTCTCAACGGCCGCCCCCTCACTCCCGCTCGCCTGCACCCGGAGAGAGAGAGGAAGCATTGCGACCCCACAGGGGGGCAAGCGGGCATGCAACAGGGCGGCAGGTAATATGGGCGGACGGAAAAGAGCGTGGGGGGGGGGGGGGGGGGGGGGGGGGGGGGGGGGAGGGGGGGGAAGATGGAAGAGGACAGAGAAGGGGAAGAGAATGGGGGAAGAAATAGGGGAGGGAGAGGGGGGAGGAGATGGGGGAGAGAGGCGAGGAGATGGGGGAGAGAGGGAAGGAAACAGGGGATGAGACGGGGAGATAGCGGACGACATGGGGGAGACGGGGTGACACATGGGGGCAAGGCGGGCAGGAGGTGAAAGAGCCGGCAGCAAAGCCATGAGAGCCTGGAGGGCGAGCAGCATGGGCGCGTGGGAAGCAGCGTGGGAGCGTGGCGAGCAGCGTGGGCGCGTCCGGGTGGAGAATGGATGGCTTACTGTTGCGGTGGTCGCAGCTTGGCCGCCAGAGGCGGGGAGATCTTTCTAATGGCCCTTGTCAGGCGCTCGCTGAGTGACAGCGCGAAGCTGCGGGGTGCGGGAGGGGGAAATGGGAGATGATGGGGAGATGGGGAAGGGGGAGGAGAGGAGGGGGATGGGGAGTGTGGGAGAGAGGAGGGGAGATGGGGGGAGGAGGTGATGAGGAAAGACGAAGGGGAATGGAGATGGGGAGAGGGCAACCAAGGAAAAAGCTCCAACAAGGAGTGAAAGGAATTGTGGACGGTGGAGAATGGTAGGGCACGGGGAGAAGAGTGGGAAGAGGATGGAGGGGTGGGAGAGGCGGAGGGGAGGGGAGGGGAAGGGGTGGGAACGAGTGGAGACAGAGATGGGAAGGGGGGGAGAATGGTGGGCAGAGAGAGCGACGAGGGGTCAGAGAAGAGGGAGCTGAAATGGGGATGCTAGTCGAGCCTAGCCACACGGCCGTGGCAGCAAGCGCGACTGACCTGTCGTTGAGGCTCGCGAAGGCGACGGCGGCGAAGAGCACAGCGAACAGCGCGAGCGGGTTACGGGCGAAACAGCAGGCTGGCCGCGGATGGGCAAAGGGAGAGGGGAAGTGGGGGGGGAGAGGGGGGAGGGGAGAGGGTGGGGTGGAAGGGGAGAGCAGGGGGGCCGGAAGGGAAAGGGAGGAATAGGAGGCACAAGAGGCCAAAAGATATTGTTCTTTACTCGCCCAACTATTTTTTGTTTTTTGTGATTTCCGGGCGGTAATGCCGTTAGACGCATTGCGAGGGATTTGCGCGTACCGTTGATGAAGCAGACAAGGATGTAGTAGTTGGTGCGATAGCTGCGCCACCCGCACGAAGACAACACAGGGGGGCGAGAAAAAAAAAAAACAAAAACGGAAAGCAGGGAACGAGAGAAATCAGGGATAGGCACGTTAGACGAGTTGCGACGACTCAAAGCGGGTCGCGCAGGGCATTGGATTGGGATGACGGTCGATCGTTGAGGCACCTAAAAAATCGGCTCACTTCACGCACGAGTGGCACGTTCGAGCCCATAAGCCGAGCCTCACGGCAAAGTTAATTGACAGGAGGACGGCGAGCAGAAGCTTTCGAGGCGACTCGAATGTCAACAAGAGTATTCCTCCATAAATCGGATCGTCCCACTGCTTCCTAAGGATCGATCGGCACCACAGCTCAACATTCGCGAAAACTCATCGCGATCGTCGCACGGCTTTCGAAAATCGCCAAACCTAAGGGTGAGACACCTACCCGACCACGACAGAGGAAACTAGCCAAGAGGAGTAACGAATTCGCGTTATGGGGCAACAGCGAGCGCTCACTAGTACGCGTTGCACTTTAAGCGGCTGCGCCACTTGCTGGCGTTCTTGGGCGCGGAGAAGCGCTGCACGAACTCCGCGAGCGGGCGAGGCGGCGTGGACCACTCGACCTCCCGCAGCGCGTCGAGCAGCTCCTCGCCCGTCACATTGCCCCAGTCCATGCCACCACGCACCTCGGCCTTCCGGCTTCCTGCTGCTAGGCCTTACTCGTGTAGAGTGGAATCTATTGAAAGTCTAGATTAGGTGAGGATGTATGTTTCATGCACGCCCAGGATAAGGCGTGTCTGGCGCTAACGCGATGTGGATCTACTCGTGCACGCACATATTGCTGAGTGTCACTGAGCCAATATATAAACCAGTTAGTTAAAAGGGAGTATCTCACAAGTCGGTGTAGTTTAGTGGTTAGAATTCCACGTTGTGGCTTTGGAGACCTGGGCTCGAATCCCAGCACCGACATGTTCTTCAGGATCATTATTGTAATTATGGTTTTCTTTGCAAGCCATTTGGTGTTGTTTGGCAGCAATGCTTTCCCATTTCGCTCCATAGCCTTCAATGGCCGGGATAATGACTTCGTGCCTCAAGCAGCTAGTCGCCTCCGTGGAGTGGGCAAATGCCCCCCCGTGCGTCCAGCAACCAGTCCTCCCAGTCCCAGTAGTAGTGGAGGCGATTTTCTCCAGCAGCCTGACTACTACCCTGTTTTGTGTAATAAATGCTTCATGTCCATTCCAGATACGGGACATAGTCTGAAACAATTGGTAACATGAGCGAACCAATATGTATATCTCTATAAGATGCAAATAAGACTGAAAGTCGTTTCTCAGACTTCTGCTTTTATCAGGTGAGGTTGAATATATCATGTATTGTAAATGATTTCATGTCTCTCTACATGAGGCTGGTAGCAGGTATTGCTGTATCTTGTTCACCGAAACCCATCTTGGTTCAATTGAGGAGACGAACCTGCTTTGATTGGTCAACCCCGCAAAAGACTGTTCGCGTGGCGCAGCGTCTTTCAGCCGCGTGGCAATCCGAGGAGATCCCCCCTTTGCGCGACCATTTCCCCTCCCCGCCAACTTCAGCGCTCCACCCTTCCTTCTGGCCAGATTCCCCGTTTTGCTTCTGCGCTCGGTTCCGCTCCAATCTCAGATGTTGAAATTGAATTCTGGCAGCCATTTCTTCACGCCATGCTGAACCTCGCAATCTCAAGCTCCAAGTTACTCGCACACAGCCGTCCGCCACGAGCTAAGATCGGACTGCTTATGGCCCTGTCTCTCTCCATGCCTCTGTGCTCCTCTAGCGTCCCCTCAGCGCTGAAGAGTTCTCCTAGCGCACTGCGAGCCGAGCTCTCCGGCAAGGCCAGCAATCGGACGGTCGGGATCTGCTTGCTGCCGACTCCCTCCTCTCTCTGCGCGAACCGCCTTGTCGCGAAACCGAATTATCTGTCCGCTATCAATTCAGGACGCGCGTCGCTCTTCTTATCAAGGGCAAGACCGTCAGTGACCATGGCTGCTGCAGCGGCGACCACGGAGGCCGCAGCGGACGTGAAGGAGAACCCGCTTCTGTCGCTGAATCTCGCGTCGATTCCGCTGTTCGACAAGATCGAGCCCAAGCACGTGGTGCCGGGCATGCGCGCCATTCTCAAGGAAGTGGTACGTAGCGAGAGAGACAGAGAGAGAGCCACGCAACGTTTCAGGATTATAGTGTCTCTGCCCACGGGCTGTCAAGGGAGCGAAAGTCAGAGCACACAATGTCTCGTAAGTCTGGTATCTGCTTACTCAATCTCCAAACCTTCAAGTGTCTGAGCAACCAATGTCTACAGATTTCAGAAACTGAGCACCCGAGGTCTAAGGAATTACAGTCTGGGCACTCAATGTGTAAAAGAATCAAGTGCTCGAGCACCCAGCTTTCAGGAATGTAGAGTCTGATAACCCAATTCCTCAGAAATTCAGTGTCTGAGCACCCAGTTTCTCACGAATGGTTTATCTAAGTGATTGAGCACTCGAATTTCAGGATTTTAGAAGCTGAGCCGTCGATTTCTCAGGCGTATGAGCCCCCAGTGTCTAATGTATTTAATCTCCGAGCGTATTTGTTTGGGGGAGTTTCACATACTTCATGCGAACCTTGGAAATCAAATTTCTGCCAATTCTATTCGCAGAGGAAATGACAGTCCACTTAGAGACGTTTCAGCCTCGAGTGATTCCATGCGTCATCGTCTCCAGAATCTACAAAAGTTTATTCAAAGTTCCACATTATTCGATGCCAAATTGAATTCATTGCTTCGCACATTCCAACACTCACCACCACACCCACAGGAGGAGCAGCTGGACAATCTCGAGAAGAACGTGCAGCCCACGTGGGCAGGCCTCGTGGAGCCCGTGGAGCGAATCGGCGACCGGCTGAGCATCCCGTGGGGCGCGGTGAACCACCTGAACGCCGTGAAGAACTCGGACGAGCTGCGCGCGGCGTTCGAGGAGGTGCAGCCCGACGTCGTCAAGCTCTCGCTGCGCCTGGGGCAGAGCCGCCCGCTCTACGACGCGTTTGTGGCTATTAGGGGGAACCAGCAGCTGTGGGACAGCCTCAGCGTGGCCCAGAAACGCGTTGTCGAGTGTGAGTGGGTGTGTGTGGGCTGGTGTTTGTTGCTGGTGCGTGTGAGTCGGGGTGTGCGGGGTGGTGCATGCAACTCGGACGAGCTGCGGGCGGCGTTCGAGGAGGTGCAGCCGGACGTCGTCAAGCTCTCGCTGCGCCTGGCGCAGAGCCGCCCGCTCTACGACGCGTTTGTGGCAATCAGGGCGGACAAGGCGCTGTGGGAGAGTCTGAGCGTCGCCCAGAAGCGCGTCGTCGAGTGTGAATTGGGGTGTGTGGGCTAGTGTGAGTGGGTTGGAACGTGTGGGTCACTGTGTGTCGCTGCGCCTGGGGCAGAGCCGCCCGCTCTACGACGCGTTCGTCGCGACCAGGGCCGATGAGGCGGCATGGGCGAGTTTGAGCGTGGCACAGAAGCGCGTTGTTGAGTGTGAGTCGGTGTGTGTGTGCTGGCATGGTGGGTCGGCGTGGGTTCGTGCAAGGGTGCTGGTGTGTAAAAGTCGCTCTGTACTTCGTGGTTATGCAGGAGGATTAAGTCGTTATGCCTAGGCGTGCGACCCCTGGGCACAGCATAACGACTTTATCCCGCCATTCATGCACACCCTGTCAAGTTATCCACCCTTTTTCATTGCACCTGCGACTCGCTTCCTTCTCTCACATCAAATGCCGCTCCTCCACCTCTCTGCCGTGCAGCCGAGCTCATATCCGCCAAGACCAGCGGAGTGGCACTGGAGGGCGAGGCCAAGACTCGCTTCAACGAGATACAGCAGGAGCTGGCGCAGCTGAGAACCAAGTTCCAGAACAACGTGCTCGATGCCACCAAACGCTTCGTGCGCATTGTCACTGATCCTGCTGACGTGGCGGGCCTGCCGCCCTCCGCGCTGGGCTTGGCCGCTCAGGCTGCCGTTGGCAAGGTGCGTGGCTGCCGTTGGCAAGGTGCGTGAAAGCTGCTGCTGCTGGCCGCCGATGTTATTCACATCTTCCCCATCGGCCCCTGCTCCTCCATATCCTTGTATAGTCTCTTTTACTGCGTTTCACATCCATTCCCGCCCCTGCCTTCCACCGATGCAACATTTCTCTCATCACCATGGCGATGAGCACACAGGGTCGCGAGGGAGCCACGGCAGAGAATGGGCCGTGGGCCTTCACTCTCGACATGCCCTCCTACCTGCCTCTCATGCAGGTATGTTTGCACACCGTGCCTCACACAGGTCTGGAACACCACTGTCCATGGCGCCCTGTCCTTTTTCTCTTGTATTATGTGACTCTCATCTGCGTTACTACCATTTATCATCCGCTGTTTATGTCATGCTTCTCATGCGTGTGTCTCATGGTTCTGTCTCCCGCCTCCTCCATCCACCTCCCCCTGCAGCACTGCCGCAACCGGGGCTTGAGGGAAGAAGTGTATCGCGCCTTTATAACCCGCGCTTCAGAGGGCGACATCGATAACACCCCTGTGATCACGCGCATTCTGCAGCTGAAGCAGGAGAAGGCCAAGCTGCTGGGCTTTAAGTCCCACGCCGAGGTGAGACAGAGAGAGGTCGGGTGAGGCAAACACACGGTTGAATGATGCTGGCACATGCTGTCACACATGCTGTCACACATGCTGTCACACATGTGGCATGCCCACCGCCGCCGTTTTCTTCCCTTCGTGCGACATGCTCACTTGTTTCAACCCAACTGCAGTTGAGCATGGCCAGGGTGCTTGCAGCATTGGTAGTCTTGAGTGTGTATGTCATGCCATCTCGCCAACCGCTGTATTCCACTCCCCGTTGCATGTGAGCAGGTGCCGATGCAGTGGCGCATGGCGACCATAGAGAGCGCGCACAAGCTGGTGGAGGACCTCCGGGACGCGGCCTTTGACATCTCCGTCAAAGGTGAGCCACATGCAGGCTGAAGTCTTGCAGAGGCATGCTAGAATGGCCCCTGTTGGCAAATTAGAATTTCAAATTCTCGACATTAGTTTTTAAGTTTGCAGCAGAGGCATGATTGTCAGTGAAACGTGGATTTGTTGGGGGGGGAGCGGCTGAGGGAAGGAGTCTTCTCTTGTTCAATTCATAACGTCCCCTTTTCGCTCTCCCTTCCCCCCACTCCAGAGCACGAGGAGCTGAAGGCGTTCGCCAAGGAGCAGGGCGCGGAGGAAGCAGACGACCTGAGGCAGTGGGACGTGACGTTCTGGGGGGAGCGGCTGAGGGAGGCGCGGTACGAGCTGACACAGGAGGAGCTGCGGCCGTACTTCTCCTTCCCTGTTGTCATCGACGGGCTCTTCAAGCTCGCCTCGCGCCTCTTTGATGTCTCCTTCCAGCCCGCTGATGGGGAGGCACCGGTAAGAACGAGGTTCCTGGGGCTGCTGGCTGGTTGGTTGCTTGTGGGTGGTGGCTAGGAAGCACCTGTACTCTGTCGTGTGGCCCACTGCCCATGCTTGTCAGTAGTGCTATTGAAAGAACAGCACTCCGCTGTTGTGAGCTTCAAGGCGACTTGAAAGTCTTGCCATCCCTGACTCCCTCATCCCACCCGCCCTCTCCAGACGTGGAATCCTGACGTGCGGTACTACAAGGTGACAGACTCTTCCGGCAACACTGTCGCCTCGTTCCTGCTGGACCCCTACTCGCGCCCGGCGGAGAAGCGCGGCGGCGCGTGGATGGACGGCATCTGCAACCGCAGTGGCCTCTTTGCCGCCCCTGGCGCTGCCGCCCGCCTGCCTGTCACGCACATTGTGTGCAACCAGACGCCCCCGCTTGGGGATAAGCCCAGCCTCATGACCTTCAATGAGGTATGTGTGCCTGCGCTCAGTCCTGACTCTCCAGAAAAAATGTGGCTAGGGTAATGCTTGTGAGGGCATTCTTTTGTTCCTTCAACTCAATCCCTGGTCTCCCGTCCCCTCCTCCTCCCCCTTGTTTGCGTGGGTGGCAGGTGGAGACGTTGTTCCACGAGTTCGGGCACGCGCTGCAGCACATGTTGACTCGGCAGCAGGAGGGGCTGGTGGCGGGGATCAGCAACGTGGAGTGGGATGCCGTGGAGCTGCCCTCCCAGTTCATGGAGAACTGGTGCTACCACAGGTGCGTGTGTGCTGCTACCACAGGTGCGTGTGTGCTGCTACCACAGGTGCGTGTGTGCTGCTACCACAGGTACTGTTTCGTGCTCTTAATGCCGCAGGTGTCGTCTGTGTGCTACCACCACTGCATGTGGTTGTGCTTTGCTTTGCACTTTCCACACCTCTTCTGGTCTGCCATCTGCCGATGTGCTTCAAGTGAAGTGTACTTATTATGGGACCCCCCTCTACAATCTCTTCCCCTCTGCGCCCTCCAGAGCCACGCTGCTGGGCATAGCGAGGCACTATGAGACGGGTGAGGTGCTGCCAGAGGAGCTGTACAACAAGATTGTGGCGGCCAAGAACTTCCGCTCCGCTACCATGACCATGCGCCAGGTACACCCACACCACACGCACTTGCCTCTCCGCGCCAGGTACACATAACACTACTCCCTTGGCTCTGCGCTCCCCCAAAAGCTACTACTATTACCATGCACCAGATACACACCCCACACTGCCTTCTGCTGTGTTCTCCTCCTCCGGCCCCTTCCACGCCCGCGCCACCTCTCCCTCCCCTCCCCCTTCACCAGCTGCATATTGCAGCGGTAGACCTGGAGCTGCACTGCTTGTTCAACCCCGAGGGCCAGAGGTCCATCTACGAGCTCTGAAGCCTCTGAGCCGCTTCACAACCCTCCTTTCCATCCCTCCTCCCCCCTCTTCCCTCGCCAGCTGCACTTTGCAGCGGTGGATCTGGAGCTGCACTGCTCGTTCGACCCCGAGGGCAAGGAGTCCATCTACGATGTCAACAGCCGCGTGGCCGAGCGCATGCTCGTGCTGCCGCCGCTGCCCTCTGACCGCTTCCTCTGCTCCTTCCTCCACATCTTCGCCGGTGGCTACGACGTCGGCTACTACAGCTACAAGGTGAGGCTTATAACGGGTACGCTTATGAGTGCCTTTGTTTCGCCCATTTCTGCAGAGTGTATGAAATGCGCTTTCGAGCTTGTAGTGTCTAAGCTTACATCTACTCGGAAAATGTATAACTCGGTTTTGTCACACTTTTCCCCATCCATGGCAGTGGGCGGAGGTGTTGTCAGCGGATGCCTTTGCAGCGTTTGAGGAGGCGGGGCTGGATGACGATGAGGTGAGGCATGGGGCTGGTTGACGATGAGGTGAGGCATGGGGCTGGTTGACGATGAGGTGAGGCATGGGGCTGGATGACGATGAGGTGAGGCATGGGGCTGGTTGACGATGAGGTGAGGCATGGGGCTGGTTGACGATGAGGTGAGGCATGGGGCTGGTTGACGATGAGGTGAGGCATGGGGCTGGTTGACGATGAGGTGAGGCATGGGGCTGGTTGACGATGAGGTGAGGCATGGGGCTGGTTGACGATGAGGTGAGGCATGGGGCTGGTTGACGATGAGGTGAGGCATGGGGCTGGTTGACGATGAGGTGAGGCATGGGGCTGGTTGACGATGAGGTGAGGCATGGGGCTGGTTGACGATGAGGTGAGGCATGGGGCTGGTTGACGATGAGGTGAGGCATGGGGCTGGTTGACGATGAGGTGAGGCATGGGGCTGGTTGACGATGAGGTGAGGCATGGGGCTGGTTGACGATGAGGTGAGGCATGGGGCTGGTTGACGATGAGGTGAGGCATGGGGCTGGTTGACGATGAGGTGAGGCATGGGGCTGGTTGACGATGAGGTGAGGCATGGGGCTGGTTGACGATGAGGTGAGGCATGGGGCTGGTTGACGATGAGGTGAGGCATGGGGCTGGTTGACGATGAGGTGAGGCACAGAGCAGAGCTGCCTGGGTTGGGCATGGAAGTGAGCTAAGGATTGGGCAGGTCAGCCATAGCAATAGCTCCACTCCATGCGTGATTCTTCTGCGTGTGGTTTCCTCCTGCGTGTCCATGTCATGTTTCCCCAATTCCTTCACCATGATGTCTTTCTGTTGCTTCCGTATTTCTTGCTCTTATCTGTTGCGAGTTATGAGCAGGCGGTGAAGGCAACAGGGCACAAGTTCAGAGACACAGTGCTGGCTCTTGGGGGAGGCGCTGCTGCCAAGGATGTGAGTATTCAGGACTGAAGTGTTGTGCCCATGTAGTGAGGTCTCATGTTCCCACAAGGTGTACAATTTGAGGCTGACACGTGTCCCTTTTTCCAGCTGGGAAACTTACATGTAAATCATTATATGTTTGGTTTTACTGTGCAGGTGTTTGCTGAGTTCCGAGGAAGGCAACCATCAATTGAGCCCCTGCTTCGGCACAATGGGTTGGTGCCAGAGCCAGTCCCTGCTTGATGCCCGCTCTCAGTGCATATTGCATAGATTGCATGAAATACCATCAATTTGTGTTGGGAATATGCGCGTAGCGTACCATACCTAGGATAATGGATGGCTTTGTTGGATGTGTATCTTAGAGCAAGTTATAAGTACAGTTACTGACTCAACCGTTGCTTCTTCTGCTTCGAGTTCGCAAACAGCCAAACTCAAGCCTATGGATTCTTTGACCTATCAGAAAGGTGAAAGCGTCATGTACACGTCAGCCCCCTAGCCACCGACGACCTACACGAAAAAGTATCGCCCCTGGCTGTTTGCGCACGCTGGGGTGGGGGAATGATTTCCAGGTCCGGTCCGGATCCCCAACAACCCCTCCAGCTTTCATGATCATCTTTCACTTCATCTCGGCCTGGCCGAGCCAAATCCAGTGGTATGGACGTCACACTGAATTCACTGGTCCGAATCCCTGTGACAGCTGGCCACACCCGAACCAAGTCCTGACGTGCGCCCCAAGCCCGTGATGTCCGCTCGGATTCGTGCGCCAGCCAACCCTAGAGATCACCGCAGACCACAACTGTGCGGAAGGCAGCTGCGCGGTGGGACGGCGGTGGGTCTGTGAGTGATGCGAGGCTATGGCTGCTGAGCTGAGACGAGAGCAGCCCATAGAATGTGGACTTGATTCCCTACAATAAGCTCATCACTCTCAAGCAATAAGCTGAGACACTACTATAATTCTCCTGGCGACTTGCTTCGGTTCCGTTCAGTCATCCCGTCTCGAGCACCTCTTCGCCTAGCTGCGTATAGTATATATAGTACGTTGGGCGTGAAGTTTGATAGTCAAGCAGCTATCCTTATTGTGAACGTTAGAAGCTCTCTCTCGTTGCCATTCGACTACGCTCTGATTCCGCACCGGGTCGTTCTGTCACTACCATCATCATGTTTGTTGGTAGAGATGGCGGAGAAGCACAGGCATCCACGTCATCGGTCGTGGTTGCTGACGCCAACATGGCGGTGCTGGCAACAGCACAGACCGTAGGCCCTTCCACGTCAGCATCCCCAATTGTAACCGTGTCGGCTCCAGGCTCATCACCCAATGACTCGAACCCGTATATAGCCGCAAAATCTAATCATGTGACGTCTTCCAATCAAGTGACGACATCTGTAACTCCGCGAACCAACACCCACCAGGGCCTTCGGCACTGCCAGCAGCATGGAGCAGCGTCATCGCATCCTAACCATCCATCCACACAGCTGCCACCACATCGACGGCTAGGAAGAATTGCGCGTAGTTTATCATCTAAAGTCGACGGAGGTGCTATGATCGGTTCGTTGCTTCGAACCGCGATGGCGGGAATCTCGCTCAAGCGGGTGTTCTACACCGTCCTCGTTATAGGATTCGTCGTTGTGGGCCTTGTCGCAATCAACGTCGAACAGGTACGGGTCGCTTCGCCGAGTTGTTGTGTTGATTGAGCTTTTCATATGTTTGATTCAAATTATCTACAGTATGCTTAGCGATGGCAACGGCCCATTAAGAAATGTGTAGCTAACCGTTGCGGGGTATTCTTATTGGTTCAGCGGCGTGGTGCATAGTAAGGATGGACGAACAATTCTCTCCTCGTCATGCCTCCCGCCCATCGCCCTACCTCTCCCCTCCGTCTCCCAGCTGCTCAAGAGCTTTCTCCTGTGGCTCAAGAACGACGTGGGCGTGTGGGGTCCCGTCATCATGTACGTGCCGCTACTCCCTACTTCTCCTCCTGACGATGTCGTCGTAACAGTTTTCGCTCGTACCAATCCCCCTCGTAACAATCTCTCTTTGTAACAATTTCTCTACGAAATGTCGTTGCTGAGTCTTTAAAATTCACCCGTCGTTCTCTCTGTGAACGCAAATTATTTGTGAATTGCGTACCGTTGCTCTCACGGGCCGCTAAGCTCTGGTTCTTTCCTTCCCCGCCTCCCCATTCCCTCCCCTCTGTCAGGGCCCTCGCTTATATACCACTCAATATCCTCGCACTTCCAGGCGCTATCCTCACTGTAAGCAACTGCCATACACGAGATGAATGAACTTCCAATTGTTAGTGAGAGCAGACCACTCTTCGTTATAATACGAACGCCATGTATCTTAACGCAACACGGACGTGCTCTAAACGTGCGTCGTACCGCATTCCTCTTCTCTTCCGCCTTCCGCTTCATCTGTACCCTTTCTCTTTCTCCACTCCCCCCTTACTGTCCCGTCTGTCCCCTCATTTGCCCCCCCTGTCCCTCCTCTACCCCATCCTCTCCCCTCACCGCTGGTTGCGCGCAGCTGGGCGGGGGGTACGTGTTCGGGCTGCTCGTGGGCTTCGTGGCGGACTCGCTCGGCTCCACGGCCGGCGCCACCGCCGCCTTCCTCGTTGGCAAAACCGTGCGTCTCGCGCTGCCCCCCCCTTGCCCGTTTCCCCCCCCCTTGCCCGCTGCCCCCCCCCTTGCCCGTTCCCCCCCCACCTTGCCCGCTGCCCCCCCCCCTTGCCCGTTCCCCCCCCCTTGCCCGCCGCCCATGCTTTGCTTCAACAAGCCCTCCCTTGTTTCCACGGCGGGCGCCACCGCCGCCTTCCTCGTCGGCAAAACCGTGCGTCCCGCGCTGCCGGTACTTGCTGACATCCCATCCCCGCCGCCTATCGTTGTTCAGAATCGATTGTTCCCACAGCCCCTCTCTAGCTTCCACGGCCCTCTCTCTTGCGTCCGTGCTTCCTCCATGTCTACCTCGCCCGTAGCCGGCTCGTTTGGCAACACCCGTGTCTCGCCAGCCCACCACTTCCCCACACCCATCCTATGCTTCACGCCCCACCCGTTCCCGACACTCCACCCGTTCCCGCTAACCCTCCCATGCCCGCCCGCCCGCCCACGGCCTCGTGCGGTGCAGATCGGGCGCTCATACGTGTCGGCGAAGCTCAAGGAGTACCCGCAGTTCCAACCAGTCGCGCACGCCATCTCCAAATCCGGTTTCAAGGTCACACTCGTCTCCCTGCACTTCCTTCCCAATAACTGCTTTTCTCTCCGTGCTTCACCCCATCTCTTTCTCCCTCGTCTCCCTCCCACATCTCCTCCCTCCTCCATCGCTTAATCCCACTTCCCCACTCATCCCCTACCCCACACACCTCTGCTTTTCTGCCACCTGAATATCGAGTTTCTCGGCCTCCTCTCTCCCTATTTCCTGCAAACTATCTCGCCCCCTATAATCCGCTCCCTCCCCCCTTCACGCTCCCCCGCCCCCTCATGCTCCCCCGCCCCCTCATTCTCCCCCGCTCCCTCATTCTCCCCCGCTCCCTCATGCTCCCCCGCCCCCTCATTCTCCCCCGCCCCCTCATTCTCCCCCGCCCCCTCATTCTCCCCCGCCCCCTCATTCTCCCCCGCTCCCTCATGCTCCCCCGCCCCCTCATGCTCCCCCGCCCCCTCATTCTCCCCCGCTCCCTCATGCTCCCCCGCCCCCTCATGCTCCCCCGCCCCCTCATTCTCCCCCGCTCCCTCATGCTCCCCCGCCCCCTCATTCTCCCCCGCCCCTCATTCTCCCCCGCCCCCTCATTCTCCCCCGCCCCCTCATTCTCCCCCGCTCCCTCATGCTCCCCCGCCCCCTCATGCTCCCCCGCCCCCTCATTCTCCCCCGCTCCCTCATGCTCCCCCGCTCCCTCATGCTCCCCCGCCCCCTCATGCTCCCTCGCCCCCTCATTCTCCCCCGCTCCCTCATGCTCCCCCGCCCCCTCATGCTCCCCCGCCCCCTCATGCTCCCCCGCCCCCTCATTCTCCCCCGCTCCCTCATGCTCCCCCGCCCCCTCATGCTCCCCCGCCCCCTCATTCTCCCCCGCTCCCTCATGCTCCCCCGCCCCCTCATTCTCCCCCGCCCCCTCATTCTCCCCCGCCCCCTCATTCTCCCCCGCCCCCTCATTCTCCCCCGCTCCCTCATGCTCCCCCGCCCCCTCATGCTCCCCCGCCCCCTCATTCTCCCCCGCTCCCTCATGCTCCCCCGCCCCCTCATGCTCCCCCGCCCCCTCATTCTCCCCCGCTCCCTCATGCTCCCCCGCCCCCTCATTCTCCCCCGCCCCCTCATTCTCCCCCGCCCCCTCATTCTCCCCCGCCCCCTCATTCTCCCCCGCTCCCTCATGCTCCCCCGCCCCCTCATGCTCCCCCGCCCCCTCATTCTCCCCCGCTCCCTCATGCTCCCCCGCCCCCTCATTCTCCCCCGCCCCCTCATTCTCCCCCGCCCCCTCATGCTCCCCCGCCCCCTCATTCTCCCCCGCCCCCTCATGCTCCCCCGCCCCCTCATTCTCCCCGCCCCCTCATGCTCCCCCGCCCCCTCATTCTCCCCCGCCCCCTCATTCTCCCCCGCCCCCTCATGCTCCCCCGCCCCCTCATGCTCCCCCGCCCCCTCATGCTCCCCCGCCCCCTCATTCTCCCCCGCTCCCTCATGCTCCCCCCGCTCCCTCATGCTCCCCCGCCCCCTCATGCTCCCCCGCCCCCTCATTCTCCCCCGCTCCCTCATGCTCCCCCGCCCCCTCATGCTCCCCCGCCCCCTCATTCTCCCCCGCTCCCTCATGCTCCCCCGCTCCCTCATGCTCCCCCGCCCCCTCATGCTCCCCCGCCCCCTCATTCTCCCCCGCTCCCTCATGCTCCCCCGCCCCCTCATGCTCCCCCGCCCCCTCATTCTCCCCCGCCCCCTCATGCTCCCCCGCCCCCTCATTCTCCCCCGCCCCCTCATTCTCCCCCGCCCCCTCATGCTCCCCCGCCCCCTCATTCTCCCCCGCCCCCTCATTCTCCCCCGCTCCCTCATTCTCCCCCGCTCCCTCATGCTCCCCCGCCCCCTCATGCTCCCCCGCCCCCTCATTCTCCCCCGCCCCCTCATGCTCCCCCGCTCCCTCATGCTCCCCCGCCCCCTCATTCTCCCCCGCTCCCTCATTCTCCCCCGCTCCCTCATGCTCCCCCGCTCCCTCATGCTCCCCCGACCCCTCATTCTCCCCCGCTCCCTCATGCTCCCCCGCTCCCTCATGCTCCCCCGCCCCCTCATTCTCCCCCGCTCCCTCATGCTCCCCCGCTCCCTCATGCTCCCCCGCTCCCTCATGCTCCCCCGCCCCCTCATTCTCCCCCGCTCCCTCATGCTCCCCCGCCCCCTCATGCTCCCCCGCCCCCTCATTCTCCCCCGCTCCCTCATTCTCCCCCGCTCCCTCATGCTCCCCCGCCCCCTCATGCTCCCCCGCTCCCTCATTCTCCCCCGCCCCCTCATGCTCCCCCGCCCCCTCATTCTTCCCCGCTCCCTCATGCTCCCCCGCCCCCTCATGCTCCCCCGCTCCCTCATGCTCCCCCGCTCCCTCATTCTCCCCCGCCCCCTCATGCTCCCCCGCCCCCTCATGCTCCCCCGCTCCCTCATGCTCCCCCGCCCCCTCATGCTCCCCCGCCCCCTCATTCTCCCCCGCTCCCTCATGCTCCCCCGCCCCCTCATGCTCCCCCGCTCCCTCATGCTCCCCCGCCCCCTCATGCTCCCCCGCCCCCTCATTCTCCCCCGCTCCCTCATGCTCCCCCGCCCCCTCATGCTCCCCCGCCCCCTCATTCTCCCCCGCTCCCTCATGCTCCCCCGCCCCCTCATTCTCCCCCGCCCCCTCATGCTCCCCCGCCCCCTCATTCTCCCCCGCTCCCTCATGCTCCCCCGCCCCCTCATGCTCCCCCGCCCCCTCATTCTCCCCCGCTCCCTCATGCTCCCCCGCCCCCTCATGCTCCCCCGCTCCCTCATGCTCCCCCGCCCCCTCATGCTCCCCCGCCCCTCATGCTCCCCCGCCCCCTCGTTCTCCCCCGCTCCCTCATGCTCCCCCGCTCCCTCATGCTCCCCCGCCCCCTCATGCTCCCCCGCCCCCTCATTCTCCCCCGCTCCCCTCATTCTCCCCCGCCCCCTCATGCTCCCCCGCCCCCTCATTCTCCCCCGCTCCCTCATGCTCCCCCGCCCCCTCATGCTCCCCCGCCCCCTCATTCTCCCCCGCTCCCTCATGCTCCCCCGCCCCCTCATGCTCCCCCGCTCCCTCATGCTCCCCCGCCCCCTCATGCTCCCCCGCCCCCTCATTCTCCCCCGCTCCCTCATGCTCCCCCGCCCCTCATGCTCCCCCGCTCCCTCATGCTCCCCCGCCCCCTCATGCTCCCCCGCCCCCTCATTCTCCCCCGCTCCCTCATGCTCCCCCGCTCCCTCATGCTCCCCCGCTCCCTCATGCTCCCCGCCCCCTCATTCTCCCCCGCTCCCTCATGCTCCCCCGCTCCCTCATGCTCCCCCCGCTCCCTCATGCTCCCCCGCTCCCTCATGCTCCCCCGCCCCTCATGCTCCCCCGCTCCCTCATGCTCCCCCGCTCCCTCATTCTCCCCCGCTCCCTCATGCTCCCCCGCCCCCTCATGCTCCCCCCGCCCCCTCATGCTCCCCCGCTCCCTCATGCTCCCCCGCTCCCTCATGCTCCCCCGCCCCCTCATGCTCCCCCGCCCCCTCATGCTCCCCCGCTCCCTCATGCTCCCCCGCCCCCTCATGCTCCCCCGCCCCCTCATGCTCCCCCGCCCCTCATGCTCCCCCGCCCCCTCATGCTCCCCCGCCCCTCATGCTCCCCCGCTCCCTCATGCTCCCCCGCTCCCCTCATGCTCCCCCGCCCCCTCATGCTCCCCCGCCCCCTCATGCTCCCCCGCTCCCTCATGCTCCCCCGCCCCCTCATGCTCCCCCGCCCCCTCATGCTCCCCCGCCCCCTCATGCTCCCCCGCCCCCTCATGCTCCCCCGCTCCCCTCATGCTCCCCCGCCCCCTCATGCTCCCCCGCCCCTCACGCTCCCCCGCCCCCTCATGCTCCCCGCTCCCTCATGCTCCCCCGCTCCCTCATGCTCCCCGCCCCCTCATGCTCCCCCGCTCCCTCATGCTCCCCCCGCTCCCTCATGCCTCCCCCCGCTCCCTCATGCTCCCCCGCCCCCTCATGCTCCCCCGCCCCCTCATGCTCCCCCGCTCCCTCATTCTCCCCCGCCCCCTCATGCTCCCCCGCCCCCTCATGCTCCCCCGCCCCCTCATTCTCCCCCGCCCCCTCATTCTCCCCCGCCCCCTCATGCTCCCCCGCTCCCTCATGCTCCCCCGCCCCCTCATGCTCCCCCGCCCCCTCATGCTCCCCCGCCCCCTCATGCTCCCCCGCTCCCTCATGCTCCCCCGCCCCCTCATTCTCCCCCGCCCCCTCATGCTCCCCCGCCCCCTCATGCTCCCCCGCCCCCTCATGCTCCCCCGCTCCCTCATGCTCCCCCGCCCCCTCATGCTCCCCCGCCCCCTCATTCTCCCCCGCTCCCTCATGCTCCCCCGCTCCCTCATGCTCCCCCGCCCCCTCATGCTCCCCCGCCCCCTCATTCTCCCCCGCTCCCTCATGCTCCCCCGCCCCCTCATGCTCCCCCGCCCCCTCATTCTCCCCCGCCCCCTCATGCTCCCCCGCTCCCTCATGCTCCCCCGCCCCCTCATTCTCCCCCGCCCCCTCATTCTCCCCCGCCCCCTCATGCTCCCCCGCCCCTCATTCTCCCCCGCTCCCTCATGCTCCCCCGCTCCCTCATGCTCCCCCGCCCCCTCATGCTCCCCCGCCCCCTCATTCTCCCCCGCTCCCTCATGCTCCCCCGCCCCTCATGCTCCCCCGCCCCCTCATTCTCCCCCGCTCCCTCATGCTCCCCCGCTCCCTCATGCTCCCCCGACCCCTCATGCTCCCCCGCCCCCTCATTCTCCCCCGCTCCCTCATGCTCCCCCGCCCCCTCATGCTCCCCCGCCCCCTCATTCTCCCCCGCTCCCTCATGCTCCCCCGCTCCCTCATGCTCCCCCGCCCCCTCATGCTCCCCCGCCCCCTCATTCTCCCCCGCTCCCTCATGCTCCCCCGCCCCCTCATGCTCCCCCGCCCCCTCATTCTCCCCCGCTCCCTCATGCTCCCCCGCTCCCTCATGCTCCCCCGCCCCCTCATGCTCCCCCGCCCCCTCATTC